CTTGGGGGATAATGGCGGGGGGCTGCGGCCCCGCGCGGCGCTCACCGCTGCCCTCTCCTTGCAGGTTCATGGACAAGAAGCTGTCGTGTGAGTTGTGGAACTGATCCCGCCGCGATCCCCTTCGCGCCCCCAGCAGTGCCCGGGTTTGGGGACCCCCACACCCCGCTCCCCTCATGGCCCCGCTCTGGGGGCTCCTAAAACCCCCGCTCGGTTTTGGGGACCCCCCACAGCCCCTCTCGGTTTTGGGGACCCCCACACCCCTCACGCAGCCCAGGGAGTGAGGGGGTCCCGCTGCTGGTGCTCGGGCCCCTGCAGCACGCCCTGACTGATTTCAGGCCTCGCAGCTCATTAATTAAAATCCTGATTCATTCATTAAGCCATAATTCATTAATTTAACTGCAGCATGGGTTGAAAAGTCACCCTTTCCTCCTTGTCCCGCTGCGGGTTGTGGTCAGTCCTTGCCGCTCGCCCCCGCGTCCCGCTCACGCCCAGCTGCAGGTTTTTGGGTGAACGCCCCGTTCTGGGGACTGTCCCCCCCTAACCCCCGTTCCCGCAGTGAAGCTGAACGGCGGCCGGCACGTGCAGGGCATCCTGCGGGGCTTCGACCCCTTCATGAACCTCGTCATCGACGAGTGCGTGGAGATGGCGGCGGGCGGGCAGCAGAACAACATCGGCATGGTGGTGAGGGCACGGGGGCACTGGGAGCACTGGGAGCGGGGTGCTGGAGGCACTGGGAGCACTGGGGGCACTGGGATTATTGGGAATACTGGGAGCATGCTGGCGAGAGCACTGGGGGCACTGGGAGCAGGGTGGTGAGGGCACTGGGAGTACTGGGAGTCGGATGCTGAGGGCACTGGGAGCACTGGGAGCAGGGTGGGGAGGGCACTGGGATAATTTGGAATACTGGGAGCATGGTGGGGAGGGCACTGGGAGCACTGGGAGCAGGGTGGTGAGGGCACTGGGAATACTGGGGGCACTGGGATTATTGGGAATACTGGGAGCAGGGTGGTGAGGGCACTGGGGGCACTGAGAGTACTGAGAGCAGAGTGGTGAGGGCACTGGGATCATTTGGAATACTGGGAGCATGGTGGGGAGGGCACTGGGAGCAGGGTGCTGAGGGCACTGGGAGCACTGGGAGCAGGGTGGGGAGGGCACTGGGAGCACTGGGAGCGGGGTGCTGAGGGCACTGGGATCATTTGGAATACTGGGAGCATGGTGGGGAGGGCACTGGGAGCACTGGGAGCAGGGTGCTGCGGGCACTGGGAGCACTGGGAGCGGGGTGCTGAGGGCACTGCAGGCACTGGGAGCAGTGAATGAAAATCAGCCCATTTTCATTCTGGTGGTGGAATGACCCAGTTTTTTGGGGAAGCAAGCTGGGAGGAAGGGACCCTTGGATCAGAGGCAGCAGCTCCCACCTTGCCCTTGCAGGTGATCCGAGGGAACAGCATCATCATGCTGGAAGCTTTGGAACGAGTGTGAACCCCTGGAACCCCAAACCCCGACCACCGGCTCCCTTCCCTCATCCAAGATGCCACCCACGAGTGTACAATTATTTTGGTTTTGTTATTAAATCACTTTTGTAATGGTTGACCTAACTCAAGCCTTCCTGGCATCACTTTTTGGCAGCTGGGTGATAATTCTGCTCCCAACCCTGGGAAAACTCATGGGAAACTCTTAATTTCTGGAAGTGGGTGTTACATTTATACTGTTTTTGGTGGTTTTCTCTCTCAAATCATGGGCATTGTTCAATTCTTTATTTACTCCTTCATACCTGAACACAGCAATGGATATTGGTGGTTTTTCCTCTTTCCCACCCATTTTGGCAGCTCCCAGCACCCCATTCCCCCATTGCCACCCTGAGGAATTACTCTTTGGCAGGAAGAGTTGGGGCAGAGGGACGGACAGCAGGGAGTCGACATTCCAGCTGGAGGGCACTTTTGGGGTCAATGTGGCACTTCCAATGAATTCCCTAACCTCAGACAGGGATAAATCAAGGAGTTTGTGTGAGGAAAATGGCTTACTTGGGAACGCTTCCCTGCTCCTGCTCCCTCCAGAGCTGGCCAAACAGCTTCCAGGTGGCACCGGGGACGTCAAGATGAGGTATGGGGAAGGAAGGGCTGTCAGCCTAGGCTGTGGTAGAGTCACTATCCCTGCAAGTTTCCAAAAAATGCATGGGCGTGGCACTTGAGGACATCGTCAATGGTGAACGTGGTTGGGCTCATGGTTGGACTTGAAGGCCTTGATGAGCTTGAGGGTCTTGATGATCCTGAAAGTCTTGGAAGGTTTTGATGGTCTTGAAGTTCTTGATGCTCTTCCAACTTTAAGGATCCCATGAACCAATGAAACACCTCCTTGGAGGGGCGGAGCACAGAGTTCATGAATGTTAATTGCGGCATCTTGAAGGTCTTGATGATCTTGAGTGTCTTCCAACCTTAAGGATCCCATGATCCTACGAAACACCTCCTTGGAGGGGCGAAGCCGAGAGTTCATTAATGTTAATTATGGGATCTCGAAGGTCTTGACGATCTTGAAGATCTTCCAACCTTAAGGATCCCATGATCCTATGAAACACGTGCATGGAGGGACCAAGTATGGAGTTCACTAGAGTTAATTACAGCATCTTGATGTTCTTGAAGATCTTGAAGGTCATGATGATCTTAAAGACCTTCCAACCGTAAGGATTCCGCGATCCTACAGAACACCTCCTTAGAGGGGCGAGGCACAGCGTTCGTTAGTGTTAATTAAGCCCTGGGGGCGTGTCAGAGCTCCGTTTTGAGCTTCTCGTGCAGGTCCTCCTGGTCGACGCTGGCGCTGTGGCCGTGCCAGCGGTGGAAGGCGAGCAGGGCGGCGTTGCGGGCGGCGATGGCGCTCATCTCCATGGCGCTGGCGGCGCGCTCCAGCCCGTTCAGGTAGTAGAGCTGCTCGTGCAGGATGATGGGAGGGAACTTCTCGGCGGCGCTGTACTGGGGATACGCCAGCCACGGCTTCACCTTCACCGAGTCGTAGGAGGAGAAGAGCAGACTGAGCTGCTCCTTGGTGAGCTCTTCGTTGGAAAACACCTTCCAGACGGCCGACGGCAACGGCGGCTTCCCGCCCGCGCCCGTGTCCCCCACGGGGGACACCACACCCAGGCTGTTGATGAACAGTTTGGGGTTGTCCGTGGTGAAAATGGCCCCCAGGTGAAAGGCCTGGGGGTCCTGGTAGCCGAAGAAGGAGGTGTTCAAGCGCCCGTGCACCAGGGTGGTGACGGTCTGGTGGTAGGGGTTCAGGAATTCCGGGACGGGAGGGTCGAAGTTGCGGAAGGTGATGTTGGCCATCCTGCGGCCGAGCGGGGCCGCGATGACGACGATGTCGTAGGTGTCCCCTGTCAGCCCCGAGGACGTGTTGTAGGTGACCTCGTAGAGCTTCACCACGTCCCCTGTGGAGAGCAGCTCCGTTATCCCGAGCCGTGCTGGGAGGGAATCCCGACTGTCCCTGGCGTCTCAAAATGCCACATTTGGGTTTATCAATTTGTACAGCGGGGTTTTGAGCCCTGTCTTCATGGAATGGGTTGGATTGGAAGGGATCCTAAAGCCTATCCAGTTCCATGGCAGGGACACCTTCCTCTATCCCAGCTCGCTCCAAGCCCCATCCAACCTGGCCTTGGACACTTGCAGGGATGAAGGGGCAGCCACAGATCCTCTGGGAATCCCATCCCAGCCCCTCCCAGGGAGGAATTTTCATTTTGAAACCTCCAAAAGGCCGAGGTCGCTCTCCAGTGCCACCATCCCCTCCCACTGCAGGGGACTCCAGCCCCACTCACCGCCACGCTTGTGCCTGGTTTTTGGCTCGATGGACACCACTGTTCCTGGGATAACCTCGGCCTTGGAGGAGTAGATGAGGCCAGAGCACACAAGTTTGTTCCCCCCTTTGACAGACCAAAGGCCTGACTGCACCCCAGCCAGGGACACAGCACCTGCAAGGAAACCACCTCTGTCAGCAGGGAAGCACTGGGAAAACAAACTGCAGAACTGGGGGGATAAACATCCCTTTGGGACATGAGCTGGGAGCCCAGGGAGCAGGAACCCAACACCCAGCTGTTGGCTTTTGCCAGTGCTCACTCCTCACATGGGCACCAGTTGTTGGTGGACCCAGATGACTTTCCCCACTGCTGGTGGGCTGCACCAGCCCTTCATTATCCCTCAATAAAACCTCCAAACCTTTCCCCGTTGCTGGTGGGCTCCAAGACTGACACCCACGATGTGGCAAGCACCAGCCCGTTATTAATTATCCTTTACAGTAAACTTTCACATCTTTTCTCTGTAAATGGGCAGCAACACTCAACACTGACTCCTTCTCCCCTTCTCTCTTCCTTCTTGCTCCTCCTTCCTCTTCCTCACCACTGCTCAACCCACTCTTTTATATCACACATCCTTACTGGACACAAGGGCAAGGCTGTAGCTATATCATCTTATGAAAAATCCTTTGCTAGGATTTTTCCTGTCCTGAGGAGCTGAGAGCCTCAGGAAAGAAATGCAAACAATAACTATCTGCTGCTGTGGAATGCCAGAGGTGAATCTTCCATTGGTCCATGTGGATTGTTTTCAATCAGTGACCAATCACAGCCCCCTGTGCCAAGGCTGTGAGCAGTCACAGGATTTTGTTATTCATTCCTGTTCTATTCTTGTCTTTGTAGCCTTCTGATCTTCTCTCTCTGTTCTTTTGGGATAGTTTTAATGTAGTATTGTAATATAATGTATAACATAATAAATCAGCCTTCTGATGAAAATGGAGTCAAGCCTCGTGTCCTCACACAAGGGGTCTGCGCCGAGGCAGGACAAGGCTCCCACTCTCTGGTCATTAACACAGCCACAACTCATCGAGGGCAAGGCTGCCCACAGCACCCTCCCAGTTCCAACTGGGAATTCTCCCCGCACTCACCTACAAAGCCATTGACGGTGACCCCCTGGCCGTAGTTCACCCTCATGGCCGGGCACACCACCTGGTTGATGAATTTCTGGGAGAAGCCTGCCTCCTGCAGGGCCTGGTCGATGCTCTGGTTGAGCAGCCGCGCGAAGTCGTCGCCGCCCAGGGCGTGCAGCAGGCGCTCGTTGCTGCTGAAGGCGTAGTCGTGCATCTGGTACCGGTAGATCCTGTGATTGCACACAAGGAATTCTCTGCTGGTGAGCTCTGGGGGTGCGGGGAGCCCATGGGGGGGCCTTGTGGGACTGCAGGACGAGGGCTGGGGGGACAGGACAAAGAGGGCAGGTCTAGGTTCCATATTGGGGATTTTTATGAGGGTGGAGAGGCCCTGGCACAGTTTTGCCAGAGGAGCTGTGGCTGCCCCACCCCTGGAAGTGCCCGAGTCAGGCTGGATGAAACTTGGAGCCACCTGGGACAGAGGAAGGTGTTCCATGGAATGAGGTGTTGTTAAGGTCCTTTCCCACCTTCCTCCCCTCAGGACCCCAACCCACCTCATGAACTTGTCCAGGATGTCCTCCACCCACATGGACATGCGCAGGGGGTTGAGGCCATAGTGCCACAGCAGCCTGAGGAGGTTGATGAAGGACCAGCTGCTCTCCTCAAACACAAATTCCTCCCCGTTGTAAACGCCCGCCAGGCTGCCCTGGGGTGAGGCGACCGAGAGGCCTTTGGGAAATGGACAGAAAAAGGTAATTTAGGGAAAGGCAGAGCTATTCCACCTCAGTTTTAACTTCCTGAGATAACCTGGCTTCGTGCTGATAAGGGAGAGTGATTGAAGACTGGAGTGCCAAAGTGTGGAAAGGGGAATTAGCCCTTGATCACGGGCCAGGGAGTGATTGGAGGTGATTTTTGGACCTTTATGGTGCCATAAGTGGGTCACCTGTGGGGAGGGGTGAAACCATTCCCATACTCCCCTTTGGCTGGGGTACCACAGGGGGCACGGGGGGCTGTTTGGGAAGGAAAGTGTGTGAGGGAGGGACACTGGAGAAAGGTGGTCACTAGGGAACTACAGGGGGGGAATATTGGGGAAGGATATGGGGGGCTACTGGGGATGGACAAGGGGCTACCAAGAGGATGTCCCCCAGCAGAGGGGGACCCAGAGCATCCCAGGGGGACAATTTTGGGTCTGAGGGACAATTTTGGGACTAGCAAACGCCAGGGTGGGGGGGTCAATGCTCACCCAGCTCCTTGACAAAATGCTTCATGTGCAGGTTGAGGGGGTGGATCACGGACCCCCCTGACTCGTAGCTGGCCCCCTCCACGTCCAGCGTGCCCAGCCGGCCGCCCACCGCTGCCTTCTCCAGCACGTGCAGCTGCACGCTGCGGCCGAACTTCTGCCGCAGGAAATACGCGGCGGCCGAGCCGCCGATCCCGCCGCCCACCACGGCTGGGAGAGGAGAGGAGAGCCCGGTCACCTTCAGAGCCCCACGAGAGCGCCGTTCACACACCCCCTCACAGAGCCCTCATGGCCTCCCTGCACCACAGATCCCTTTAATGGAACACCTCACAGACCCCTCATGCCCCCCACCCCAATCTCCTCAATGGAACCCCTCACAGACCCTTCATGGCCTCCTGCACCACAGATCCCCTCAAGGGAACCCCTCACAGACCCCTCACAGATCCCCAATCCCCTCAAGGGAACCCCTCATGGCCCCCACACCCCAATCCCCTCAAGGGAACCCCTCACAGACCCCTCATGGCCCCCTGCACCACAGATCCCTTTAATGGAACCTCTCACAGACCCTTCATGGCCTCCTGCACCACAGATCCCCTCAAGGGAACCCCTCACAGACCCCTCATGGCCCCCACACCCCAATCCCCTCAAGGGAACCCCTCACAGACCCCTCACGGACCCCCAATCCCCTCAAGGGAACCCCTCACTATCCCTCATGGCCCCCTGCACCACAGATCCCCTCAATGGAACCCCTCACAGATCCCTCACACACCTGCACTCCGATCCCCTCAAGGGAACCCCCTCATAGCCCCTGCCTCTCAAAGATCCCCTCACGGCCCCCCCCAGACCTTCAGGGACCTTGAGGGGTCCCCCCATCGCACCTTCCTCAGGGATCCCCTCAAAGGATCCCAGCGGCACGCCCTGCCCCTCACAGATCCCCTCATCCCTTCAAGGGACACCCCTCACACCGCCTCTGACAGATCCCCTTGAGAGCTCCCCCCTCAGCTTTCCCCTCACGGATCCCTCCCCGAGCCCCCGTCCCTCGCACAACCGCCTCCCCTCAGCCCGCGCCGTCAGCCGCTGCGTCTCCCTTCGCACCGATCTTGGAGGGCCCATGGCGGAGGCTGCGGGCGGGCGGGCAGAGCGCGGAGAGCAGCAGCAGGAGCCGGCCGAGGCCCGGCATGGCGGCGGAGAAGGGCAGAGGGCGAGGGGCGGGCCGGGAGCGCGGCCCGGGCCGGCTCTGGGCAGCGGAGTCATGAAGGACACGGAGGATGCTCGCCTACCAGCCGCGCCGCTGGTGTAGTGGTATCATGCAAGATTCCCATTCTTGCGACCCGGGTTCGATTCCCGGGCGGCGCACATGTTTTTTTAAAATTATTTTATCCTGAATTCCAAAGTACTTTATCCTGAATTCCAAAGTGCTTTACTTCACTTCCCTTACTTTTAATTACTTTAGCTTAACTGATTTAATTTTCCCGCCCCTGCAGAAGGCGCCCTGGGAACATGCGTCCACATGTTCCTTTTCACCCTTCTTTTAATCCCTTTACTTTTAATAATGTTATTTTAACGCATTTGTTTTAAATTCCCTTAGTTTAAACACTTTTCTTTTAAACTTTATTTTAACTACCTTATTTTAACCCCTTTATTTTTATTGCTCCTCCCCAAGGCCTCTGTTGCTGGTCCCCACACGAACCTTTTCACCCCACTTTTAAACCCTTCCATTTTGATTCTTTAATTTTTAAATTATTCATTTATAATCTTTCTAATTATTAAATTTTAATTATTTTAGTAATCTTTCTTGTAGTCCCTGTATTTTATAAACTTTATTTCTGCATCCTGGTGCCCCATTCCCAATGCCCACATGCCACTTTTCACCGTGACTTTACTTTCAATTCTTTCATTTTTAATTCTGTAATTTTAACCCCCCCCTTTTGAAACGCCTCTATTTTGACTCCTTTATCTCCTTACTTTTAACTCCTTTATTTTTATTTCTCAGCCCTGCTGTCCCCATTCCTGGTGCCCGCATGTCCCTGACTCGCATATCCCTTTCCACCGCGGTTTTAACCCCTTTTAATTATTTCCTTTTTAATTCCTTAATTTTAAATCCTATTCTTTTAACACCTTCATTTTCACACCTTTATCGCCATTACCCCGCACTGACGCCCCCGTTGCCTGTGCCCGCCATCACCTTTTCACCCCGCTTTTAAGCCCTTTCCTTTTAACGCTTTTATTTTTAAGCCCTTTCTTTTAAACCCCTTCATTTCTCACCGCTTTATTTTCGAAACCCTTTATTTCAAACCCATTTCCACCGCTTCCACCGCCTGCCCCTCACGGCCGCGCATGCGCGGAGCGGCCGCGGCGGGCGGGCCGCGCGCCCCCGCGCCGTTCCCGCGCTCTGGCCGCGCACGCGCGTTCCCGCACTAGGG